TGAGCTTCATGAGAGGAAAAAAAATTGAAACTTGGACTTCCTGTTTGAAAGACACTATTAAGAGAATAAAACACAAGCCACAGAGTAAATATATGTAAATCAAATATCTGATAATGGACTTCTATAAAGAATACATGAAGAACATTCAAAATTCAATAATAAAAAGAAACTAATTTATTAAATGGGTAAGAGATTTGAGAAGATATTTCACCAAAGAAGATATACAGATGGCAACTAAGCACATGAAAAGATCCTCATCATCAGTCATTAAGAAAATGTCAAGTAAAACCACAGTAAGATGCCACTACTCCGCTTATGAGAATGTCATTAAAATAATACCAAGTGTTGACAAAGATCTGGAACTCTCATACACTACTGGTGGAATGTGAAAGAGTACACCACTTTGGAAAATAGTTTGTGCAGTTAGTAAGAAGTTAAACATGATGTACTATACAAATCAACCATTCCAATCTCAAGAATTTGCCCACCCCACCAAGAAAAAAGTGTATGTCCACACAAAGACTTGTCATGATTTATTCACACAGGCTTTATTTGTGTTTGTCAGAACTTTCAAAGTCTTTCAATAGGAATAGTTAAATAAACTGTGATATCTATAAAATGAACAAGGTGGCAATAAAAAGAAATGATCTATTGATCTCTACACAACACTATGGATGAAATTCAAAGTAATTATGTTGAGTGAAAGAATCCACTATGCACTCTGTATGGTTCAATTCATAAGAATTCCAGAAAATACAAACATGTATAATGATAAAAAGTGGATCAGTGGTTGCCTGGGTATGGGGAGGAGAGAGAGGACAGTGAGGCACAAAGGAACTTTGGAGTGATAGGTACATTTAGCTTTTTGGATTGTGGTGACAGTTTGATGGCTGTATAAAATTTGATCAGAGCTTATCAAATTTTATACTTTCAATATATTTTGCTTATTAGGACTTCCGCCAAGATGGAGGCATAGGTGGAGATGCCATGCTTTTTCCCACAACCAAGTTTAGAGACAACAAAATATTAGCAACAGAAAACACAACCAGAACACAGAAAATTGAACTTTTCTGAAGTCTGATAACAACAAATTCTTCAGCCTGACCAGTAAGAGGGGCGATGCCAGCAGCTGGTGGAACAGGGTTGCACAGAAAAACTCAGTCAGATGGACTCAGGTGCACAGATCCCAGGCGTGGGGTTGCAACAAGCGGACCCAGTGAGGGACTCAGTGAGTGACCCAGTGAGTGACCCAGTGAGTGACCGGTGTACCCAGTGAGGGTGCAGGGCAGTGGGTTGACTGTGGTCCCGCATTCGTGCGCAGATAGAGCAACAAGAGAGTGGGCAGTGAGACGACTGGACCTAGCAGGCCCCAGCTGTGAGAGGCAGCAGAGGGGGCCTCCATTTCCCGGCTCTGACCCGCCCCCACATAGAGCGTCACAACTCAGCGACCTCAACGACCCTGCCCTGGTGAACACCTATGGCTCCACTCCTCATAATTAACGGGCGCGAACAGACCAAAAATGGCTCAAGAAGATCTCAAAGCCCCAGAGCCTATAAATCTAAGCGATGAAGAAATAGCAAAACTTTCAGATACACAGTTCAAAACACTGGTGATCAGGATACTCACAGAACTGGTTGATTATAGTCACAAATTAGAAGAACATATGAAGGCTAAACTAATTGAAATGAAGGGAATTGCACAGGAAACCAATAGTGATGAAGAGGAAACTGGGACTCAAATCAAGGGAGTGAACCAGAAGGAAGAAAATAATGGCCAAACAGGAAAATATGAAGAAACAAGAATTCAAAAAAATGAGAAGAGACTTAGAAACCTCCAGGACATCTTTAAACGCTCCAACATCTGAATTATAGGGGTACCAGAAGGGGGAAAGGAACAGCCACCAGTGGAAAACTTATTTGAACAAATAATAAAGCAGAATTTCCTCAATCTGGCAAAGGAAATAGACTTCCAGGAAGTCCAGGAAGCTAAGAGAGTCCCAAAGAAGTTGGATCCAAGAAGAAACACACCAAGGCACATCATAATTACATTAGCCAAGATTAAAATGAAGGAGAGAATTCTAGAAGCAGCAAGAGATAAGGGGACAGTCACCTACAAAGGAGTTCCCATCAGACTGTCAGCAGATTTCTCAAAAGAGATCCTACAGGCAAGAAGGGACTAGAAAGAGGTATTCCAAGTCATGAGATCCAAAGACCTACAACCAAGATTATTCTATCCAGCAAAACTTTCATTTAGAATGGAAGGACAGATAAAGTGCTTCTCAAATAAGATCAAATTCAAGAAGTTCATCATCACCAAGCCCTTATTATATGAAATGTTAAAGGGACTTACCTAAGAAAAAGAAGATAAAAAAGATGAACAGTGGCCTTGGCTGGTGTAGCTCAGTGGATTGAGCGCGGGCCTGGGAACCAAGCAACCACGGTTCGATTCCCAGTCAGGGCACATGCCTGGGTTGCAGGCCAGTTCTCTCCCTCTCTCCTTCCTTTCCCCTCTAAAGATAAATAAATAAAATCTTTAAAAAAAAAGATGAATAGTGAAAGGACAGCAAACTCACAGTTATTAACAACCACACCTAAAACAAAAGCAAACTAAGAGGACAGCTAGATCAGGAGCAGAACCATAGAAATGAAGATCACATGGAGGGTTAGCAACAGGGGAGTGGGAGAAGGAGAAGGGGGGAGAAGGTACAGAACATAAGTAGCATAGATGGTAGGTAGAAAATAGATAGGGGGAGGGCAAGAATAGTATGAGAAATATAGAATCTAAAGAACTTGAGACATGTGGTCATAAACTAAAGTGGGGGGGAATGGTGGGGAGCGGGTGTGCAGGATGGAGGGGAATGAAGGGGGGATATAGAACAACTGTAATGGCATAATTAATAAAATATATTTTAAAAAGAAAAAAATATATATTTTGCTTATTATACTTTGATAACATACCTTATTATCCCTTAACTACTACTGTACCAAATAACATATTTTTCTATTATACTATAATTATAGCTCATATAAAATTTGTTTTATAAAACAGGCAAAAGCAGTGAATTTTCTGTAAAGTTCAATTTTCAATGTATACTTGTATTTATAAGCATCAAAATAACAAAAATAAGAATATTGAAAATAAAAAAGGAAAAAGATAAATCGTGAAAAAATTTATCCTTACCTACCAACATTCACATAAAATTAATTCCAGTTGGATTAAAGATTTATAATGTTCCCAGAATTTATATGGAATGTGTACAAATCAATAACAGAAAGAACCATCCCAAATATAAAGGAGAGAAACACCTTGAATAGTTACATTACGGAAGAAGAAACACCAATGGCAAATCAACATAGGAAAAGATACTCATGCTACCTTGGAAAGTAAACCCCTTCTGCCCTGGCTGGTGTAGCTCAGTGGATTGAGCATGAGCCTGTGAACCACATGATCGCGGTTCGATTCCCAGTTAGGGCACATGCCTGGGTTGCAGGCCAGTTCCCAGAAGGGGACCCATGAGAGGCAACCATACACTGATATTTCTCTCCTTCTCTCCTTCTCTTCCTCTCTAAAGATAAATAAATAAAAAAAAGTAAACCCCTTCAGATATCAATACAGAACGAGTGCATGGAACGAGTGCATGGGTGAAAAACTAGGTCTGACAGTAGGTTGTGCTGGTGAGGATGTGGAAGACACAGAGCTCTCATCACTGCTGCTGGAGTGAAAAGTGGCATAATAGCTTCAGAACACAATGTGGCACAGCCTCATCAGTTACAGCCTCATCAGTTGAGGCCACTCATGCCTATGAACAAGCTACCATGCTCCTGGGTATGGGTACTAGGCCTCTAGAGAAACTTTTATAATATATTGCAACATTATTTAATAGCTAAAAATTAGCAATAACTGAAATCTCCAAAAGAAGGGGGTTGATACTTCAAGTATATTAAAATAGAAATATTCATATAATGGAATCATGTAACAGCTTTAAAAAGTATAAACTAAACCTGTACATTGTTACATGAATCTCACAGAAAGTTGGTAAAAAGGCACATTCCAGAAGGTTATGTACATTATGATACTATGTACAGAGAAGTTTGCAAACATGCAAAACAAACACTCTACATCAGCCATTTTTAGCCTTTTTCATATCATGGCACACATAACGTAATTACTAAAATTCTGTGGCATACCAAAAATATATGTTTTGCTGATCTGACACAAAAAAATAGATACAATTTTGATTCAGTCACACTACACAACTGTTCCTGTGTTGGCTGTTGTCATTTTTTCATTTGACAATGTGAGGGAAAAGAGGTCAGTGCTCCTCACTAAACAGTCAGGTAAGGCATGTTTTAAAAACTCTTGCAGCACAGTGGTTGAAAATCGCTGCCATATATGGCTGAAGAACCATCAAATGGATAAAAAGGATGAAGGTGGTCATGGAAATACTAATGCAGAAACTGGATTCTCAGGGCAGAGTGGAGGGGCAAAATACAACCAGAAAAGGTACAGGGCTGTTGTGTGGATTTACAGCATTTTAAATGATATTGGGAAGGCACACTGGCATTCACTGCATAATTATAAAGTATTGTAATTTTTAAAAATCCACCATACATAAAAAACAAAAGTTATGGAAATTTATGGGTTAAAACTGATATACAGAAATGTTAACAGGTTAAGAAGAAAAATTGGACAGAGTCTATAGCAGTGCCAATGATTTAGGTTCAGAGGGCAAACTGCCAAGTTGAACGTCAAATCCCCCAGAAAAACCAAGAATAGGAAGATCCTAGACATGCTGGATGAAAACACCAAGTGAGTGGAGCGAGGCTCTCTGGTGGAGGAGGGCAGTGTGTCAGGGAGGCCCTCTCTGCAGTAAGCAAGATGGCATGGAAGGCCTGGAGAAGAGTTCCACCCACCCAGGACTTCATAGTTGCTTCTCCTTCATCACCTGCTGAGTGCCTCACTGGCCTGTCTTGTTGTCTGCCTGGTGCTTCCCTCTCACCTGGACAAAGGTCCAGAAGACATTCGCTTTCCTCTCTGCAGGGCTCATCCCCTTGCTCCAGCTGTGTGATGAGTTTTGGTTTAGAAAAGGCAATTCCTAGTTACAGGAAAAGAAACCAAAGCTAGTGAATTAAACCCTCTTGGGGTTAGTGGATTAAAAGGCTATCACAGGACTCAGAGTTAGTTGGGGAATGCAATAATCCAGAAGAGGGCAAAAGTTCTCTGAAGGCTAACAAAGAATGACTAAGGAAAGGGGTAATCCTGGACTTGAAGGTAGTACACTGATTCTAAACTGTGCTTGAGTGAATACAAATATTTCCCCATTTTAAACACAATTCTTGAGAGAAAGGGCTGGGGCTTGAAAGAGGCCTGGGAATACAATGATTTCATGGAACGAAATGCAGAAAGACACCACATACACATACGTGAACAACTTCAGTATTTTTAAATCTATAGAATCCAGACATTCTGGGGGTACAGGGAAAGTATTTTTCTCTCTCAGCCAAAAGCATGGCAGCTACTGCATAAATCTTGAAATGTTCACAGGCAGAGTCCAAGACCTTGCAAGGGCTGTCCTTACCCAATGACACCAAGTGGCTGTAGTTCTCCAAGATACATCCCGATACAGGATCTTCTGGGAAGGACTTAGTAGTTTCCACTCCTTCTTGGTGAAGGTTACAGCTACATCTCTGAAGGCCATTAATGCCTGTAACAGAAACATCCCTGCTCAACCAAGAACCAGCCACATCCAGCAATAAGATGGCAGCAAAGAGGCTGGCATAGATGACATCCATTGATCCTACTTTAACCTGAAACCTGAAGCCATGTGTTCAACACTATACATCCCTTGTCCATATTACTACTAAGTCTATTTAGGAGTTCCTTCTTTTGCTTTGTTGATCTCTATGTTATGGCACTGTTGAAAAACAATTTTGATGACTGTAGCTATATAGTAGGCCTCGAAATTAGCTAGGCTTATTCCTCCCACTGTATCTTTCATTGTGCAGTGGGACATGTGCAAAGGCACATTCTAGGACATGTGCCCTTCCCTATAAATTGTAGAAAAATCTTGTTCATAGCAACCAAAAACTGCTGATTTTGAGAATATCTGCATTAAACACAAATACCAATTAGGGGAGAACTGACATCTTCACTATGTTGGCTCTTTAAATCCATGAACTCGAAGAACAAGGGATAGAAAACCTATATGAAAAAGTAATGATGGAAAACTTCCCCAATTTGATGAGAGAAAAAGTCACACAAATCCAGGAATCACAAAGAGTCCCAATCAAGAGAAACTCAAAGAGTCCCACTTCAAGAAAGATCATCATTAAAATGGCAAAAATTCTAAACACAAAAAGAGAACCTTAAAGGCAGCAAGGGAGAAAACATACAAGGGAGCCCCAATAACGTTAGCTACTGATTTCTCAATGGAAACACTTCAAGCAAAAAGAGAATGGCAAGAAATATTCCAAGTAATGAGAACCAGAAGCCTGCAACCAAGGCTACTTTACCCAGCAAGGCTCTCAATCAAGATAGAAGGCCAAATAAAGAGCTTCCAAGACAAAAGAAATCTAAAAGTAAAAGAATATGCCTCCACCAAACCAGCTCTGCAAGAAAATCTAAAAGGACTGCTTTAAGGAAAGGAATGAAAAGAGAGAGACAGAGAGGAACACAGGTACAAAAATGGCAATGAATAAGTACCTATCAATAATAACATTAAACATAAATGGATTAAGCTCCAATCAAAAGACATAGAATAGGTGAATGGATAAGAAAGCAAGACCCACACATTTGCTGCCTACAAGAGACCCACCTCAGGACAAAAGACCTACACAGACTAAAAGTGAAGGACTAGAAACAAAATTTCCAAGCAAATGGTAAGGAAAAAAAACTGGGGAAGCAATACTCATATCTGACAAAATAGACTTCAAAAAAAGGGCAATAAAAAGAGACCCAGAAGGTCACCTCATAATACTCAAGGGAAGAATCCACCAAGAGGACATAAACATTGTAAATATATATATATATATATATATATATATATATATATATATATATATACACCCGACAGAGGAGCACCCAAATCTATAAAGAAAATCTTAGAGGACTTCAAGAAAGATATTGACAGCAACACAATTACTGGGGGATTTTAACACCCCACTTTCAAAAATGGACAGATCTTCCAAACAAAAGAACAATAAAGCTATTGTGGCATTGAACAACACCCTAGAGGAAATGGACTTAACTGATATATATAGAGCCCTTCATCCCACAGAAGCTAAACACACATTCTTTTCAAACGCACATGGAACATTTTCAAAGATAGACCACATGATAGGACACAAAATGAGCCTCAAAAAATTCAAGAAAATTGAAATCATACCAAGCATTTTCTCTGACCACAAGGGACTGAAACTGGAAACCAACCCCAAAGGAAAAAACCCAAAACACTCAAAATCATGAAGATTGAATACCATGCTATTCAACAATGAATGGGTCAAGAATGAAATTAGGGAAGAAATCAAAACGTTTCAGGAAACAAATGAAAATGAACTCACAACAACCCAAAACTTATGGGACACAGTGAAGGCAGTCCTGAGAGGGAAGTTTATAGCAATACAGGCCTACCTAAAGAAGATAGAAACATTTCAAACAAGCAACCTAACCCTATGCCTGCAAGAACTCCAGGAACAACAACAAAGACAGCCCAGAGCAAGCACAAGGAAGGAAATAACCAAGATTAGAGCAGAACTAAATGATATAGAGACTAAAAGCATAATCCTAAGGATCAATGAATCCAGGAGTTGGTTCTTTGAAAAGATAAACAAAATAGACAAGCCTTTCAGTTGGCTCATCAAGAAAAGGAGAGGACCCAAATAAACACAATCAGAAATGAAAAAGGAGAAATTACAACTGACACCACAGAAATAGAAGGAATTGTAAGAAATTACTATGAACAGTATGTGAAGAAATTTGAAAATCTAGGTGAAATGGACACATTTCTAGAAAAATATAATCTTCCAAAACTCAGTGAAGAAGCAGAAAGCCTGAACAGACCAACAGAAGCAGAAGAAATTGGAGCAGTAATCAAAAAACTCCTGTCACACAAAAGCCCTGGACCAGATGGATTCACAAGAGAATTCTATAAAGCATTTAAGGAAGAGCTAACCCCTTTTCTTCACAGACTATTCCAAAAAATCCAAAAGGATGGAAGACTCCCAAACTCTTTTTATGAAGCCAGCATCATCCTAATTACAAAACGAGATAAAGACACAACAACGAAAGAAAACTTCAGGCCAATATCGCTGATAAACATAGACGCTAAAATCCTGAACAAAATATTGTCAAATCGCACCCAACAATACATTAAAAAGATCATACACCATGACCAAGTGGGATTCATCCCAGGGATGCAAGGATGGTTCAATATTCGCAAATCAGTAAATGTAATACACCACATAATAAAAAGCAAAGACAAAAATCACATGATCATATCAATAGATGCGGAAAAAGCTTTTGATAAGGTACAACACCCATTTATGATAAAAACACTCAGCAAACTGGGAATAGAGTGAGCATTCCTCAATATAATAAAGGCCATGTATGAGAGACCTACAGCCAATATCATACTCAATGGGCAAAATCTAAAATCCTTTCCGCTAAGATCAGGAGGAGACAGGGTTGTCCACTTTCACCACTTCTATTCAATATAGTATTGGAAGTTTTAGCCACAGCATTCAGACAAGAAAAGGAAATAAAAGGCATCCAAATTGGAAAGGAGGAAACAAAACTGTCATTTTTTGCAGATGACATGATAGTGTACATGGAAAATCCTATAGACTCTACCAAAAAACTGCTTGATGTAATAAATAAATTTAGCAAAACAGCGAGATACAAAGTCAATATCCATAAATCAAAGGCATTTTTGTATACCAACAATGAAACAGCAGAAGCAGAAATCAAGAAAAGAATCCCATCTGATATAGCAAAAATAAAAATAAAATACCTAGGAATAAACCTAACCAAGGAGGTAAAAGACATGTATACATAAAACTACACAATATTGAAGAAAGAAATCAAGGAAGACATAAACAAATGGAAACATATACCATGTTCATGGATTGGAAGAATTAACATCATCAAAATGTCCTTACTACCCAAAGCAATTTACAGATTCAATGCAATACCTATTAAAGTACCAATGACATACTTCCCAGAGAACAAATACTTCAAAAATTTATATGGCACCATAAACAACCCCTAATAGCAGCTGCAATTTTGAGAAAGAAGAACAAAGTAGGAGGGATCACAATACCTGATAGCAAACTGTAGTACAAGGCCACTGTAACCAAAACAGCCTGGTACTGGTATAAAAACAGGCACATAGACCAATGGAAGAGAACAGAGAGCCCAGAAATAAGCCCAAGTCTCTATGGGCAATTAATATTCTACAAAGGGGGCAGTAACATAAAATGGACTAAAAATAGCCTCTTCAACAAATGGTATTGGGAGAACTGGACAGGTATGTACAAAAAAATGAAACTTGAGCAACTTACACCATACACAAAAATAAATTCAAGGTGGATAAAGGACTTAAATATAAGCCATGACACCATTAAAATTTTAGAGGAGAACATTAGCAGGAAAATCTCAGATATTTCATGCAGCAACATTTTTACTGATATGTCCCCTAGAGCAAGGGACATAAAGGAAAGAATAAACAAATGGGATCTCATCAAAATAAAAACCTTCTGCATGGCTAAAGAAAACAGTATTAATATAAAAAGAGAACCAACTGTATGGGAAAACATATTTGCCAATGATACCTCAGACAAAGGTTTAATCTCCAAAATATACAAAGAACTCACAAGACTCCACTCTAAGAAGACAAGCAACCCCATTAAAAAATGGGAAAAGGACTTGAACAGACACTTCTCCAAGGAGGACATACAGAGGATCCAGAGACACATGAAAATATGCTCAATGTCGCTAGCTATCAACGAGATGCAAATGAAAACCACAATGAGATACCACTTTACACTGGTCAGAATGGCCATCATAAACAAAGCAACAAACAACAAATGTTGGAGAGGTTGTAGGGAAAAGGGGACCCTAGTTCACTGTTGGTGGAATTGCAGACTGGTACAACCATTATGGAAAACACTATGGAATTTTCTCAGAAAACTAAAAATGGACCTTCCTTTTGTCCCAGCAATTCCACTGCTAGGATTATATCCTAAGAACCCTGAAACACCAATCAACAGAACCTATGCACACCAATGTTCATAGCAGCACAATTTACAATATCCAAGAGTTGGAAGCAACCTAGGTGCCCATCAGTAAATGAGTGGATCAAAAAACTGCCCTGGCTGGTGTAGTTCAGTGGATTGAGCACAAGCCTGTGAACTACATGATCGCGGTTCGATTCCCAGTCAGGGCACATGCCTGGGTTGCAGGTCAGTTCTCAGCAGGGGACTCACAAGAGGCAACCATACATTGATATTTCTCTCCTTCTCTCCTTCCCTTCCTCTCTAAAGATAAATAAATAAAATCTTAAAAAAAAACAAACGATGGTACATTTACACAATGGAATTCTATGCAGCATAAAGAAAGAAGAAACTATTACCCTTTAAAACAGCTTGGATGGAACTGGAAAGCACTATGCTGAGTGAAATAAGCCAGGTGGTAAAAGACAAAAACATA